TATTGTCATAGACGATTTACAATAAAAACTGTTGTTTTACTTGGTGAACAAATGCTTGAAAGAATATGTCATATACATCGTCGATCTGTTATACATCGAGAGTGAGTTTTTTTTTTTAAACAAATTCAATAATTGAAATATTAAAAATTTATTATCATTATTTGTTAACAAGAAGAAGAAGAAAGAAATTCTCTTTTACTTTTATATCTATTAAAAGAATGAAAAAAGTAATTTTTTTTTCTTTTTAAATAAATTACTTTTTGAATTTTAATAATGAGAAAAGCAATGCTAAATGTTTATATATACTAATTGTTAATAAAGTTCTTTTGGCATAATAATATAGAAAACATTAGAACAATTATTCAACTTTCAAGACATTTTAAAGGCACTTTTGAACTCAAAATTAAATATTTAACAATAAATGATAAATATTTTTTTTTTGAATGAAAACAAGAAATGACTTCTAAAGAAAATACGCCAAAAGAAGACAAAATAGTTTTCATCAAAAAAAAAATTTTTCTTTGAAAACATCAAGATATTTCAACGAAATTACTATTTTTTCTATGACATTATTAAATCAAATTAATTTTAAAACTTGAATTAGTTGCTTCTTAATTTACGAAAAAGAGATATTAAATTCATATTCTAAGTTAAACAATTTCATCAATTCTAAAATTTTTGATAAATTTAATAAGTACTCCAGGGCGCACCAACAATAATTATACAAAAATGTTTTTTCTCATAGTAAAAATTTTATTTTTCATATGTTCATAAATAAACATTAGCATAGAAAGCATCTGTTAAATAATTGATTAAAAGTATTTCATAATAAAAAAATACACATTAAATATCATTCAAATAAACGACAAGTACCAATAATAAAACAAACAATCTTTCTGAATTGTTCGAGTATATTACTTTTTTCATTATCAATCTGCTCAAGCGATGCAAATCGTTACTTTTATTTAATTGTCAGTTAGAATAGTAATTAAAATTCAGAGAGTTCGCATCCGTATCTCAAAAAAATTTATTAAAGCAGATTCGAGTTTGAGGTTTGATTGAAAAATTCTTTAACAATGGCTATTTCAAAAGGAAATCTCATTCATTGTAATCAGTTGAGAATTTTCGAGACGGCTCGGTGGGCCATTTTTAATCGTTTAATAGGAATGTTTACAAAAACAACATTCATTTTCTTTTTTACACTAAGATTGTTTTTACACGTTTCCAACAAGAAATACCACATTATAGTTATTTATATATGCTAGGTTTCTTAAAGATGAATATATGATAGTTCTCTGTATAGAACGATAAAAAAGAGCTATTTACTCGATAGCTAATTGCTAAATTCCAAAACTTGGTTTTTTCCACTCATGAAGGGATCTCTCCAACTGGCGAACCAGTTCTCAACCAAGACGATATTCATTTGATGAATAATAGAAAAGTCTAGAATAGTTTAGTACTCCAGATCTTCGTCGTCAACATGTTAGAATTTTACAGGTTTTTCCAACAAACGCTGTAGTCGTCCTTAGGTCACGTGGAAAATCGACTTTCGAGTTTCGAACTCAAATTTTACACGAGAAAAGTACTCAAAGAGATAAATTCATTGCGCCAGTTTTAGCTTTCCTATAGTTTTCTTCCTGGAAATGTAAATATATAAACAAAATTGGCTTTTACACAATGAAGAATTTCAAATATTGAATATCTCAGGCAATGAGATACTACAAAATTTACAGTTTGCTCAATGAACTAATCTCAATAAGAACTTTGTTCGTGTAAAGTTTGAAATCGAAACCCGACAGTCAATTTTTCATCTGACCACAATTTTTTATTCAAAAATCCACTAAAACTTAGATATCTTGAGAACGGAGTTCGAAAAACCAAACCATTCTACACTTTTCTATTACTCATCAAATAAACATCATCTCGATCAAAAAGCTATTTGACGCCTTAAGAAGTTCGCTCGTGTTACATGTCTCAGATCAACCTCACGTGTTTCTTCGAGCGACAGTCTAAATCTAAGTCTGATCTTTAAAGAAACATCAATGAAATAAGTTGAGAAGTTTAACTCTAGTAACAATTTTTCCGAGCATGAAACATACTTCAATTAATGAACTAAAATTTTCATTATTTTGATAAAAGCTCTCTAACTTGCTCTCTATATGTTTCATAAAAAAGAACAACATATTAATAAAATTTCTTTCAACGAGTTACAATTCTACATGGCATCTTAGCTCACAAAAACAGTTTCAACTTATATTTCATTGCAACGATCTGTCTTCTATATCATTATTTTCTTGTTTTTCTTTTTTCAGTATAAAACCAGATAATTTTACAATGGGTATTAATTCTAAATGTCAAAATGTTTATTTAATTGATTTTGGTTTATCAAAATATTATTTAAATAAAAAAACTCGTCAACATATTGAATATAATGATAATAAACAATTTTTAGGTACAATACGTTATGCTAGTCTACGTACACATGCTGGAATTGAACAATCACGTCGTGATGATTTAGAATCATTGGCATATACATTAATTTATTTAGCACGTTCAAATAAATGTTTACCTTGGCAAGGTATTAAATGTAATACAAAAAAAGAAAAACAAGAAAAAATTTATGAAATTAAACTTCATACACATATTGAAATATTATGTTCAAATTTACCACAAGAATTTCAAGAATTTTTAATTTATACACGGCAACTTGGTTTTGCTGAAGAACCAAATTATTTTTATTTATTTTCATTAATTAAACAAATATATCAAACAATGAATATAAAAAATGATTTTATCTATGATTGGATTATTCATAAACCGAAATGACACAAAAAAATAAAATAAATTTTTCAATTGATTTAAGAGATTTTTTTGTCTTTTTTTTTGTGGACGAATATACATAACAACGAAGAAAATTTTATATTAAAATCGTTTTTTCTTTCATTTAGCTTTTGAATTCTTAAAAGGAGATGCTAATGCGTTTGGTTTACATTTTTGATTACCATTAACCATTATTATAATTATAAATTAGAAGAAACATGAAGAAAGAAAAAGAAACAAATGAAAAACCTTTGCAACAGGTGTTGATCGTGAATTTCGCGATGCACTAAGTGTACTCGTATGTTTTGATGATGTTCGGCTTAATTTTCTTTTCAGCTCATTTATATTCTTCAAGATCTTGATTTTTATGCTCAATAAATATAATTAATGTATTTAAACATGCCTGTAATTCCTAGCCTACAGAAAAAAGATACAAATAAACGATGTACGCGATTTTGAAAAGCAATAAAAACGATATTGTGGTGATTATCGTATTGCATAACGAAGTTCGTCATAAACATTTTCTTTATCAAAAACCAAGTTTATGTAATATATAAAGTAGAAAACGATCTTTTTCTTTTGTATAATTTTTACTTTTATTTGTATTATATCGCATACGTAATTGATGAAATGGTGCTTTGTATCCAGTCTTATAAGTTTAAAAAGAATAATAAATATTTTTTGTATTTAAGTTTGATAAGACAATCAACAGCTGCAGAGTTCAAGTTAAATAAACAGAATTGTTTTATTATTTATATGATATCGTTAAGGTATATATATATATACGACTTGCATAGCTATTGAAATGTATAAACTTCCAATGGAAATCAAATTTCTTATTGTTACACAGGTTTCTCTACTTATAAAATGTCGTGAATTCGAAATTCGAGCTAAACTATTTTGGATATTTTTCTGTTATGGTTAAATAGAGCTCGTCGAGTCATTTCTAGAGATATTATTATTGATGTACTCAAACGATGGCTTGTTATGAAGCTTAGGAAAATTAGATTTAAAAAAGAAATCAGAAAAGTCTATATATTTAGATATTTTTTGATTTTACTTGTATGGTAAGAAAAAAACTTCTGCGTATTTTTTGCAAAAAAATATTGTTGAGAAAGTTTGTACTCTAAGATTTCGACCAAGACAATGTTTATTTGATGAATAATAGAAAAGTCTAGAATGGTTTGATTTTCCAAGCCTTGATCCTCAAGATATCAAAACTATTCACGATTTGTCAATAAAAGGCTGTGATCATCCTCAAGTCATGTGAGAAATCGACTTTCGACTTCAAACTTTGCATAAACAAAGTTCTTAATAAAATCAGTCCATTGGGCAAATTATAACATTTCTCGTATTTCCCTTCGGGAGATGTAACTATAGTAACAAAATTTGCTTTTACATATGAGAATGTTTCGAATATTCAATATTCCAGAATAGAAGATTTTAAAAAACTTACAACTTGCCCAATGAACTAATCTCACTGAGAACTTTATATTTATACTAAATTTGAAGTCAAAACTTGAAAGTCAATTTTTCACATGACCTGAGGATGACCACAGATTTTTATTATAAAATCTAGTACAATTTTGATATCTTAAGAATGAAGACCTGGAAAACTAAATCATTCTAACTTTTCTATTAACCTGTATTTATGACTTTTTGCTATCATATAAAAAAATCGATTTTCTCAACAATATTTTTGCAAAAAAGCATGTATAATTTTTTTTCTAACCATACAGCGAGTAAAATCCAAACAATATCTAGACAAATATTCAGCCTATCGAAACTTGATGCTTTTGGTGTATTTCAAATTTGATAGATTTTTCTAATTATATTATACCTAAGCTTCACTAGCAAAACATAGTTTGATTATGTCAAAAACAACATTTCTATGTGTAATCTTAACCTGTTATTTCCAAGTTGTGATACTTCTTTGAAAACACATAGAATAAGTACAGATTACTATTGTTAAACTTAATCATAGCCAGAAAAATTGAAATAGTAAACAAAAATTAGGGATTCTTGGAAAGACCTCATTGCTCGATAAGTCAATCAAAGGTTAAAATCAGGTTTGAACTCTACGCAGTCGCTATCTAATGTTTGTAATATTAAAATGACCGCTCTATTATTTAAACTAAAAATCAGATTTTCGTAACAGCATTACATTTATCTACCTCATGATGCAATATTTTGAGAAAAAACGTACTGTATCAGAACCGGCTAATTTGTTTACAGGTATTCTATAAGTGACTCATCGAAATTTTAAAATAAGGTCTTGTTCATAACACTATTACAGCAAAATTGAACGAGTTATTTTGAGAATATCTCAATGTAGAGCTGATAGTGGGAGGGTGTGGGTGTGGGGTGTGGGTGGGTGTGGGTGTGGGGGATGTGGGTGTGGGTGTGGGGGGTGGTGTGGTGTTGCGGGGTTGTGTGT